TAATGCTGCAATTAAAACACTTAATGATTTCTACCAAATGTCAGGGCTACAAATAAATATGGATAAAACAAAGGCTATATGGATAGGCGCCCTCGCTGGGAGCAGATTAAAAATATGTGATCAGCTCAACTTGGAGTGGCTCAATGGAGACTTTGAAGTTTTAGGTATTATTCTTAACCCGGAATTAAAGGATTTATGGATTATCAATACTCGTAAAAGATTAGAAAATATCACTAAACTTTTAGCAAACTGGAGAAAAAGTTATTTAACATTAATTGGGAAAATTACAGTTATTAAAACACTTGCTTTACCACAGCTAGTTCACATATTCACTGCACCCCGAAATCCTCCTGATGCTTTTATTAAGACATTAGATAAAATATTTTTTTATTTTCTTTGGAACGGAAAAACAGATTAAATAAAAAGAGAAAATATTAAGAGAGAATATAAAAATTGGGGACTAAGAATGCCTGATTTTGGTTTACATGATGCCTTGAATCTTACATAGATTGCTGACTGTGTGTTATTATTGATTATTTCCAATCACTTTGACTCTATTGCCAAAGAAAAACTACAATGTTTCTCCAATATAATGATTACAATATTATAGTTTGGTATTGTTTATTCTTTTATTATTAGCTTATCTTTCTATGAGTGCTCATAAATATGGCGTTAACAACTTTCATGCCAGAACATCTTGCTCGATCCTTCTTGATCAAGACCCAATAGCAAGACACAATAACCGTGGTATATCTGAAAATAATGTTCAAAGGAGATAGAGAGTGCGACAGAAATGAACAGCTGATGTAAAATGACATGCATACAGGAAAATATAAGAGATAACACCAGGAGTGTTTAGGAAGAGTTAATATTGGTCGAATTCAGTGATGAATGCAAGGAATTCTAGCTGATTAAATGTACGACAAACACAACGTCTGCAATGTATGCAGAAAGCATGATTTTATCTTTCATTCATCGCCTCATGAGGTGCTGTTTTGTAACAGTAGTCACCGCGACACAATAGGTGAGGTGAAATGTTTGGAATTCGTTGTCATAATAATACAGATGGACATATGTTTCAGTCAATTTGTAAAATAACTGAATATTCAGGCGTTAAATAAATTTCCTAAGTGAAAATTTTGCAAATTTGGACCGTAAAAATATAAACACGATAAAATAAGCAATGCTCGGGAGAAATATTTACTTTGTTTTGCAAGTTAAAATAGTGTAAACGGAAAACGCACAATTACCAAGCAAGTGACTTCGTCACCATTACCGATGCTACCCACAAAGATACCTACATTTCCTTATTATTTCCAAAACTGTATTTCATTTTGTTGATCAATGTGACCATACGCCCTTATACTTTCAATAAAAGTGACTAATGCGCTTATGAATTGCGCAGCACAGGTTGCGAACTAGTCTAGGTTTCTGCTATATCATCCGGGTACTCACGGGAAATACAATAACAAAGGCAACAACCAGTCCCGGGGAATTGCTTTAAATCAGTGCCCCTTTAACGTCGCGTCCAAGATTCTTGCACTTATGGAGCGACGTGCATGCACGTGTGACTGCCTGTACTAGTCCGGACTAATGCCAATTTATAGTGCTAGCACACTGAGATACCATGCCATAGTTTAACATGAAAACCCCACTCAGACATAGTATACTGACTCCGAGCCGACCATTCCTTGTTTCAGCCCCTTAATGCCGAGCGCCAGACAGGGTAACAAGTACAATCTTTTAACGTCTTTTGGTATGACGCGTCCAGAGATCGAACCCCGAACCTTCCGCTCTCCAGGCGGACGCTCTACCACAAGACCACGGGGCGATTTAGCGGCACAATACATCACAGTAACGCACAAATGGCAACCAACAGGCATGATTAGGTCACTCACTCCACAGATTACTAATGATCTCAACAAAACATTTAGTGTATTTTCAAGGTTGTGGAATTTGCATAGACAAACTATAAAAAGTATGAACATGCGGCAAAATCAGGGAACACAATATCTATCACTTCGGTCACACACATCATGATGAAGTACAACGCTGAATTTAGCGCCATCCTCCTCGGATGATTGAGTGATTTGTGAGTTCAGTGTATGAATTTAGGTTTATGAATTACCTCCCCTAGACCGCTGAAACCAGCAAGGTCGTTTATAGCCTTACTGCGTTATCTCCCTTGACATAGTGTCACGCATAATCGCAGCCAGTAGCAGACGCAAAAGGGCGAAGCTCGCCACTGCATTCATGCCGCAACAAGGTGTTTTGTGAGACTTTATACCAAGTATGGACGCCAAAGCTAAAAGGAAGGGGTCGGGTAGTAAGCTGAGGGGGCTACTAGACAAAGCTGGTAGTGATGAATTTCTGTTTGTGAATTTTTCAGTCCGTCACAGATATCCAAAGGCGCCGGTTACCGCACGTGGCAGTCGACCGAATGTGGCTCAGTTTGAAACCGTTGTAGAGGGTGTGCGGGATGAATATAAGGAATTACGTAGACAGTACCAGAATGGTACTCGAGAGAGCGATTTCAGAAGAAAGGACTAAAATTCGGCAAGCTACAGCGTCCCAGTCGCCGCCGTCTGAAGCGGCCCGTCAACACGTCAACACGAGTCTACTCCGGGCATGACTGAACTACGACAGCTTCTGGATACCGGATGTGAGGATATGTGCGATGGCAGTAATCGGACAAGACCAAAAGCGCTTCAGATTATTACCTATATCCGAGAAGAAATGGGGGCAGACGAGCTTTGGCAAGAAAAAACTAAAATGGCGGACATCACAATCAAAGGGATTGGAATAAAGCTGAGTGCTAACCACAAACGATCTCAATGGACTTCTTTACTGTGAACGTTCGTACGAATAACGCTCACTGTCAAAGTTCGGGGATTAGAATATACGTCGTTTTATACATGTATAGCCGATGTATCGTTACAAAAAATCGACATAATCTGATGCGTATGTACAGCTCGTATCACTAAGGTATACAGTTATGCATCGTATACCCCCGAAGCAACATCACATTTTAATAAATAAGTGATTCCACGGCTTTATTGAGTAAGCAAGCATTTGTTAGTGGTATGTTTCCATAAATATAAATAGGCCGGCTCTACCAGCGTACTACTTTCGTAGATTTTTGCATTACTGCCCTACATGATGGCACTGATTTAATATCGCTGTCTGCATCCGCAATTATAGAATATACAATTATAAAATGAAGCTTGGTACGTGTTAGGCAAACTATCAATATTCAGACCAGAATCATTTCTCTGCAGGAGAGAGACCTGAAAAAATGTCAGGCGCACCGAAATAGTTAATCACTGTCATGCGACCGCGAATGTATTTGTTTAAGTCATTTTGTAAGGACAGTTATCCACAGCTGAGGTGTTAATGTTTGCTTCCGCTTCTGGTGCGCAAAGAAACAAGCTACTCCAGACTTGTTAACAACGCACAACCAGCCGAAGCTGAACCCAAGCACAATTTGAAACTATTCTGAACTGTAGTTTCAATTCTTGATCAACATCGCTCGTGGGCGATTATGTGAAAGCAAAAGGTGGCGAATATTAGGCAAGGCAGAATGTCCGAAAACTGCCCATTAGGGCCACATGTCCCCGAGTCATGGAAATTAGGTCAAGCTTTCTTTCTGTGACGACGGTGTCGGAGCCAGCATGTCGGATTGTGGTGATGAATTGTTCCAAGAACACAGTTTGTAATAAGTCTGAATTGGTTGTTATCTCAGATTTTGAAACATTACTTTACATGGGTAACTTTCAAGAAGATTATTGTCAGAAGTTTGAATTAGGCAGGTTATTTCTGATGAGAACACTGACACCGAACAGTGTCATACAAGTCAGGATGTATTTGGTGATAATTGTGACACCGATCTACACTTGGCTAGTCCGATAATAGAAGAATCAGGAGCTATTGGCTCACGTGTATCTGAGAGACAGTCAAATTCCGAAACACTAGATTCATCACATCGGACAATGAAAGTGTTGAGAAAGTTGTACAGGTAACGCAGTTAGAAGCCAATCTAGATAATGTAAAGCTTTGGTTTAGTTGGCTGGTTGGTTGGTTTGTTGTTTAACGCCGCACTCAGCAATATTCCAGCTATATGACGGCGGTCTGTAAATAATCGAGCCTGGACCAAATAATCCAGTGATTGACAACATGAGCATTGATTCACGCAATTGGGATCGATGACATACATTAACCCAGTCAGTGAGTCTGACCACTCGATCCCGTTAGTCGCCTCTTACGACGAGCATAGTCGCCTTTTACGGCAAGCATGGGTTGCTGAATATCTATTCTACCTCGGATCTTCACGGGTCGCTTTGGTTTAGTACAGCTCTGAAACCGATATAGGACAGCTCTGAAACGGATATAGTACATGTGTGCGATTTAGCATATTTTGTGAACACTCAACACTGAAGAGTTTTAGGGCTTTGAATATTTTCAAGAATTGGGTTGTTGAGAGGCAAGAACGAAGTAATAATGAAGTTCCAATGGCACTTCAAAACAGTGTTGTTAGCTGAAAACGAAAATGATCTGAACTGAACATTGATGTTACGCCGGATCTTCACGGGTATAAACGTTATGAAGACCGTATGCAAGACAATATTATTGTAGCTGATATTTCTCGTCAGACATGTTAACGATGCTATTATATCTAATCTTTTTCTTGAACTGCTTTATAAATTAAACTTCTGTTGACAATCTCTATGTGGTTTCTACTTATGGTCTTGATCACACCGTTTAGTTTTAATTTATCACGACAGTTTCAATCTCAGAAGCATATTTGTTTGTGTGCTTGATAAAGGTGTAGGAGTAACCTACGATTTGTTTCCCTGAAAACCCCAAATAGCTATTACGTATTATATTCTTCATCTTCTAAAATACAATTAATCTATACCATTCCAGTAACAGATATGTATTTAGAGGTATTTGCGAATTTCATGACGCAAAATGTGAAGAATATGAAAAAAATAATAATTTACCTTGTCCATATCTCAGTACAGCTGAAATTCCTGCCACATAATCACAAAGAAACGACCAGGTAACTGGTAGAAACAAAGTCTGGCTAATCAAGAAACAGAAGCTGGTATGTCACTTGTAGCGGCATCAGCGTGTCGGTAACGACAGTTGTGCGGCAACGTCGCCTGGAGACAATCACCGTGGAAGCTGTTGAGATTGTCGACTGTTGTTGATTCTGGTGTTCGGTGGCAGTAGAGGGCCGTTTGCCAGCATGCAGAGGAAATTGAAAACCCATAGTTCCCAAGAATGGTTTTCTTTATCCGGCTGAGCACTGGGCAAACAGACGGAATTTAATCAAATTAGCTGGAGAGATCATTCATCATACAGCGGAAAGATTAGCTTGACGGCATATCTTCCAGAAAGGCCAGTGTCTTGATCTGCTACGTGTGCTACTGGGGTGAAGGGTGGCTTCATGTTGTTTGGTTCCATAGTTGATAAACTAGGTTTATGAACTTAGGTGTGTAAATGCGACTACGAGAATACAGAATTAAAATCAGGAAACAGATTACGATGACATGTTGTAGAATATATAAATGAAAAATGACTACAATGTCATCTATTTGCTTCTCGTTCTTGCCTTTATCCTTACAGTGAATGAATAAAAGTAAATAAACACAATTATGACAGATCAAACACTAAAGTTCCAAACAGATGTGAACCTTCATCTCGCTATCAGGCAATACGATACTCAGCTTGTATGAGGGTATAATGTATTAAATGGAAAATGGACAAATTATTAGAAATGTCTTGAATGAAAAAAAAGGAATATTACAAACTAACCAATTCCAATAGGCGCAACAAGCTAAGGGACAAACTGATAATGCGCTTCGGACATAGGACCAGTGTAGCTTGTTGCGCTTGTTAGTTAGAGATAGGCAAACAGATTTACGATGTAAACACCTTTATCTGTATTGACGGCTATGCCAGTCATCGACACCTTCGGAATCACACGTACCACGTCCACATACGTGGCATACTAGCCACTGGTCAGCTGTTCCTCTTCATACTGAACTTCACCCGTAAACAACTTTATCATCAATACCTCAGTCAAATTGGACCGCCTCCGTAGTCTAGTGGTAGAGCGTCCGCCCGGAGAGCGGAAGGTTCGGGGTTCGATCCCTGGCCGCGTCATACCAAAAGACTTGAAAAGATGGTACTTGTTGTTACCCTGTCTGGCGCTCGGCATTAAGGGGCTAAAAGGAGGGTCGGCTCGGAGTCAGTATACTGTGTCTGAGTGGGATATTCATGTTAAACTGCGGCATGGTATCTCAGTGAGCTAGCACTATAAATCGGCATCAGTCTGGACTAGTACGAGCAGCCACACAAACACACATACGTACATGCACGTCGCTATATAAGTGCAATAATCTTGGACGCGACGTTAAACCCTATTTCACCTCACCTCACCTCTGTCAAATTAAATTATACAATTCTGTCGAGATACAATAATTGTAATTTGAACAATAATATCTTTGTGTATATGTTAGATATTCTGGTTGTGATACTGCTGTGAATACATAATGTCAATCCTTTGTTATGTTGTTTACATTGGAATGTGTATTGTGACCAATGTAGTATGTTTATGTATAAGAGTGTATCGGGTATATTTTATAACTACTATTAATCTTATGTAATCTTTTTTTATGTTGTAAAATTCTGATCCTGCTATGTATAATTCGATATGCATCAATCATTGTCATTACTTCCATATCATGTTCATCGGCTGTTCTTCGAACATACATATATGTATGATTGATTGTGAACATTCTATAATTGATTGTAAGTATTCTAGTATTTGGGGCGGTTGGGTAGCCTAGTGGTTGCTTTCGCACGTCACGCCGAAGACCTGGGTTCGGTTCCTAACATGGGTACAATGTGTGAAGCCCATTTCTGGTGTCCCCTGCCGTGATATTGCTGGAAAATTGCTTAAAGCTGCGTAAAACCATACTCGCTCGCTCGCGCGCACTTGTATTGGCTGCTGATATAAATTGACGTATTTATTCACTCAGTTCTTGTGTCATTGTGTTTGTTGGTCGTTTACCGTGGTACATCTACTCAGCGAGTTGATCCCAAATCTCGATATTTAATAAGTAACATACAAGCCCCGATCAGTATTATACTACTGTATGGGCAATTGTCTATGGCGATTCGCCCCGATTATGTTTCTAGATTTGTCAGCACCATACCCGTGCTCGTGGGTTTCACCGAAGTGGTAAACGTCTGAGACCTGCATCACTTCGGGCTTTCCTCCCACATTAAGCTGACACGCCGTGATATAACTGTAATACTGTTAAAAGCGGCGTTAAACCCAACTCACTCACTATTGTCTATGGTAGCTGATCGACAATATCTGTCGTTTTGCAACACGTCGAGAAATCGCATCCCCGATTATACAGTAAATCATATCCAATATCTATCATGATGAACACCCGGGAACCCTTCACCACAGCAAATATTATCTCTCGCTCATGGGAGTAATTTGATTGGACGGTTATTTTTAGCATCGCCCTCTGCGTACCGGACTGAAAACTAAGTAAGGTGGCGAATGGGCCCAGGGTATTTGTGATCATAATAATAGAATAGGGATATGATACGCTGTGTAATCGAGGATAAGAATTTCGAAGATGTACATTCAAGCAACGATAACGCCTTTACTCCAGGCATACGAAAATAGATTAAACCTCCTGATGGAAGATGTTGGTATGAACATCCCGACACAAGGGCTCATGTGTAATATGTATATTTCAGCTTTTGTTTTATCTCTCATTGTTAAAACGAAGTCAATATTGTGATCTGAATGTCTTGAGTCATTGTATAAGTCATTAAAATTCACATCCCGTATATTCGGGGATTAGAGTTACAATCCCCATATAAGTTTTTAATAGAAGCGTTTCGAGTAATTATCTTTTTATAACAGGCTAAATTAAAGCCTTCGTGTCATATGTTATATGCAGAAGTCATACATTAGCGTTAAACTATTAATGTTAGGCCCTAGAATGAACGTACAGAAATACTTCACTATGAATGACAACCTGTATAAAGGACCCACATTTTATTCTTTCGATGTGAGGGTTAGAGTCCACAATAAAACAATGCTGCATAAATAGCTACACGCGAGCGCTGATAACCATACGTCACTAATGAACCCTGGACCAGGTTAATCTGTCATACAGACCCTGCCACAAACATATCCAATACAGCCCATGCAAGTCTATAATATTTAAGAGGAAAGTCTCTGGGCTCCTTTTTATCATATTTTTTAACTGTAATTTACAACCTTTTTCTGAAAAATAGTTCATTTCAGAGACTAGATGTTAGTCTAAGGCCAGGTACTCCCAAGGTGTTCCTGGTCAGAAAAGTTCAACACCGTCAGGTAAGATGACAGACTATCAACCAGACCACACCCTGTCACCATGTGTTTCCAAACTGTCGTCTCTTACGGCAAACGTGCTGGGGACCTATTCTGCTCCGGACACTCAAGAATAAAGATATACGCGTCAAAATAACTCTGATTCTTTAGCTGAAGACGTGATTAACAGACATTTTTTATAAACATATCCTTAGGTATTTGTGTCTTTGATAACGTTTCCATAATGTTTGTTATCGTGGAAGTATTGTACTTATCTTTGGAATTGGGGTAGATAGCACAATCAGTACTGACCCCAGTGTGGTGACAAACTGACAGATATGGGAAATATATATCCCCGTGTTATGGGTTTTCGAACGCTAAAGAAACATTTCGAATTTTCGCGTTAATCAAAAGAGCACCTGTAAAACACCTCACTCACTTTTTTTTCACGATTTTACCTTAATAACTGTCCATCATCTGAGTATTTACAATGTCTGTGTGACACCACACCCCTTGTTATAGCGGGAGTAATCGCGATAAACATGGCAGTTCGACAGTTCGATGTCCGACAGCTATGATCCGACGATAATATTTATGTTATTAATACCGTCACCTCCTCTGTATCTCTATTGTAGAATGTTCTCGTTACGTGTCCATGAATGCATGCGCGGATCAACATATATTGTCTGGCACAGTATTCTGTAAACAGTCTGGCAGGACTGAATGAATGTTTTGTCAATATAAATTACAGGATTTAACATGATAAATAATAGTTGCCATTTTCCATTGCTTGCGACGATCATTTTGCTTGTGGGTGATTTGTTATCAATGACAGTCAATGATTCAGCCTGAATCACTGAAATCTTAAGTCAGAGTCAATGAGTTTTATTGTATCCAAAGCCTCGGGCCAATACACAAGCATTACTTACAGTAAACTACGGTTATAACGAACACAAAATGAGCTCTAATTCTAGTTCGTTATAACCGTAGTTCGCAATAAGCATGTATACAGTATATATACAGCAATTTGCCGAGACCGCAAAAGTCAGTTATATCCGTCAGTTCGTGATAAGCGTGTTCGTTATAAACGTAGTTTACTGTATTATATTATGTTTGTATAATACAATAGTAGTTAATCATGGATTACCGGATAAGCCATGTCCTACGTTTTGAAAGTTCTCTCAGTACACATAAAGCATGTACTATATATCTATACGGTTATCTTGTATATTGACATATATAAGCGTTGTTATACTGCTAACAGGAACCGCGAAGAACCCGGTTAGAATAGGTCCTCAGCAACCCATGCTTACTGTAAAAGGCGACTGTGCTTGTAAGAGGCGACTAACGGGATCGGGCGGTCAGGTTCGCTGACTTGGTTCATGCATATCATCGTATCCCAATTGCGTGGATAGATGCTCATGATATCAATCACTGGATTGTCTTGTCCCGACTCGATTATTTACAGACCGCCGTCATGTAGGTAGAATATTGCTGAGTGCGGCGTCAAACAACAAACCAACAAGCAATCACAAATGTTGTCTCTAGGGATTTTTTTCTTGAAGGGATTGAAGGACAACATTGACATCATCGCTCCGGAACATTTAATTCACAACATATAAACAATAAAACAACAAATAAAAAAAAGGGAGAAACTCTTTTCGTATTCTTAGTTTCCAAACATATATAAAGTGAATGGAACTCATTTACATTGAACATTTACCTAAGTTATTATACAGAAAGGGTTGGGTAACTGTGGGAACGCAGCTATAAAACAGATTATGAGTTAACACGCAACTAACTTACAGTACAAGTATAATATGTAATTAAATCAAACAAAGAAAATATGTAAGAAAAGATGTAAGTGTCATTGTGACTCTGCAGTTCAAAGTCGATGCTGTGGTGTCGGTGGGAACTGTGAACAATACTCGTCATATCCGCCTCTGTTCCAGGGATTGGTTTCTGGGAAGGCAGTACTGACAGCATTGTACCGCAAGAGGGCGTTCTTCAGCTTCTCAGAAGATGGGCCAGAAAACTGCACAAATGACACCTGCTCTCCAGAAGGACCTTTCAGATAGGAGTATCGGAGTCCCTGGAGTGCTCCTTCAGTGAAGGTGACGCTGTAGTCCTCTAAGGGAACCTGCTGACCGAGAGTGTTCACATCAACGGCCCTGTTTCCTTTAACCTGTGGAAATCCACGGGCAGCCGACCTCTGTTCCACATCTCTTAAATAGGAATTCATATCAACTGACTCTGGCAATAGGAAGGTGATCCGCATGTTGTTGATCAGAGCTGGTGTGCTGAGGTTGAATGTAGGATTAAACTTCGGGTAGCTGTAATTTCTGCCTGTGTCATACTGAAGCATCTCAATCACATAGTTGTCAAAGTAGCTGAATCTCAGAGCGAGGCTCATGTTCCCAGAGAGTGTGATGTTAGGAATGCCCAGACTCTGATAGTCAACGTGCCATTCCTCTGCCTGTAGCATCTCTTTTTGGACCAACATGTTTTGGTCGTCATCACCATAGAAACCAGCGTCTCCATTATTCCCCAGAGATCCTCCTAGTATTTCGGTATAAAAATCAGCCGAACCAAATAGGCTCCTAGTTCTCGTCCCGTGCTGGAAGAGCCCATAGTTTTGTCCAGTAAGCCCAGCTCGTACCTTCCACTTATTGTCAGGATGTGGTTTGTCCAGAAACGCTGTGCTGACGGCCTTCCTCTTGCAATACTCCTTACCAGTATCTAACAACACATCCCCTGCCATCCTGTTTAATTCCAGTTGTTCACCTGACGGGCCTTTAAAGTATGCCCACTGCATTGATTGATCTGTGGCATTTAGGGGCATGGTGTAGTTTTTGATTGCGACCCGTTCTCTTTCAGCCTCGCTGTGCACTGTGACTGGTCTGTTTGCCATCACTTGATTGAATTCAAGCTGGCGGGCTCGGGTTTCCAAGGCATGCACGTACATGTTGAGGTCCACCGTGGACTTCACCCAAATATCTACATGCCCATTTGGGACAACGGCAGGACTCGAGCGTTGGTCCCTCACAACAAAACTTTTTTCTGGACACTCCTTGTCTACAAACTGGACCAGCTGTATCAGTCCATTGTCAAAGAAAATGAAGGCCCCGACAACCTGAATTGGGAATAAAATACATATTGTATTTGTCCTGGTGTGAGTGAGTGAGTTTGGTTTTAAGACGCTTTGAACAATATTTCAGTTATATCAGTGTGTAACCTTGACGTAGGAGGAAAACCTGAAGTGACCACGGGTATGGTGCTGACATATCTAATCAGGGTGATTCTGGGATTCGAACCCGCGATCATTGTCCGTATTGGTATATGGTTTTTTTTAAAATGGGAAAACAGTTGAATTCATCAGTGTAATGTTTCTTGTATACGGATCGTGTATTAGTAAACATTCACAAACACGCGCATTTGGGAACGAAGATGAATGATCTAGTTTACGGTGAAGCGTTTCTGTAACAGACATGTATCTTTCTAGAGTGGGGACACGGGTGACTCACTCGTCTTAGACACATAGATTCGTTATGCAGAGTTCCATCACTTACCCGTTGTACGGATCTACATGTTTATACTTTCTAATCGTGGGACACTTTTGACTTTCCTCTCACATAAAGCCAACATGCCATGATACAGCTGAAATACTCTTCAAAGCCCCCTCAAACCCTACTTCGTTACTCCAGAGAACACGACAAATCCAAATAATGTCAACGTGTGGCTTCTCGATAAACATTGACGTCGGTATTGAAATTCATAGCCAAAATCTTGTAAGGAGGTCGTGTGACCTAATTTGTATTACTCTTGAACGTTGTCAAGTGACTTGTTGAATCGAGAAATTAACTCGATGTGGTAGTCTTACTTTCATGTTCACATAAATGAGTGTGTGAGTGAGTTGTGTTTAACCGCCGCTTTTAACAGTATTCCAGTTATATCACGGCGTGTCAGCTTAATGTGGGAGGAAAGCTCGAAGTGGTGCAGGTCATAGACGTTAACCACTTCGGTGAAACCCACGAGCACGGGTATGGTGCTGACAAACCTAGAAACATAATTTTGGCGAACCGGGATTCGAACCCACAATCATAGGTTTCTGGCGTGACCAAGGGACGCAACTCTGCACAGCGAATTGCGGCGCCTTAGACGCCTGGGCCACCCGTGCCCGCCATGTTCACATAAATGAACATGGTAAAATGTTCCACTAAGTTATTCATAGATATACACAATATCTTATTCAAACGTATGAAATGGGGGTTATGTTACGGATAAAATGCTATTCTACAATCATTTTTCTGTAGCTATTTCGCAAGGGATGTAGTTTGGCATGCTTTCATCATTGGCAATGCATTCGAAGTAGTTCGACATCCATATGAACATTATTTGCATGGTTTTAAGAACGACAGCCAAGGTCGTATTGTGGAAAAAACCTCAACACCTATTTATAACCAAACAATCACAATTTATCCCGACCCAACAATCCAGCCCCTTCTCACACATTTTGAGTTATGATACAAATGCCCAAAATTATTCATGTAAAGTATATTTGTTTTATCTTGATTGACAATTTAAGTGAAAATATGTTTGTTCTATTTGCTATTTAGTTGTTTTCTACTGACCTCGTATGTCCCATTATCGCTGATGTCCGGGACCCCGAAGACCGCTGGTGCCACCTTGCCCTGTCGGGCTTGGAGGATCTCCTTCTGGAACATCATGTTGTGATGTTGGTTTCCAGAGTAGCGGAACATTAACTCTGGGGCCAGCATCCCACCCAGAATCTCAGTGTAGAACCTAATGGAGTTCGTCAGGTTGTCAGTGGTAACAGACGTGAAGGCGATACTCAGAGAGACATTTCTACCACACGTGGAATAGGCAATCGACAGAAGAATGGAAAGATGTCTTAAGCCCTCCATGTTTGTCTGAGGCAAACATGACGTGGTCGGACTCATACCATGTACCACTATCTTGAATTTGGAGAACACATGTCAAGTTTGTAGGTATAATTAGAAACCTGGGGTCAACAAGATAAGGACAATCAATATATTTCTCTGTGAAGAATGACTCTTTGGCTTATCTACAACATTGTCCATTTCATGACGGGAATGGCACAAAGAACCATCGCTTATTTGTCATATACGCATCACACGTATTTGTGTTTTATACTTTTTAAGGACGAATACATATGCAATATGATATCATGTCCTCTTAAAAACCATGTGTGTTGCAATATCTTCTTGAATAGTGGGGCCACGGGTGGCCCAGTCGTCTGAGGCCTCACAATTCGCTGTGCACATTAACGTCACTTGGGCACGCCTGATACCTATGCCCGTTGGTTCGATTCCCAATTCGCCCATTTCTTGGTTTGTCAGCACCATACCCGTGCTCGTGGGTTTCACCAAAGTCACTTCTGGCCTTCCTTCCATATCAAGCATACAAGCCGTGATATAACTGGAATACTATTCAAAGCGGCGTTAAACCCAATTCACTCACATTGGAAAAGTGAAAAATGGTGTTTGTATTAATACCAGTCATAACCTATTTTCAAAGAACCATCCTTTATTGAACTATGTGTTGCAGGAAGCGTATAACCTTTTGTTTTAACATCAATACTGCGACTGCAAGGCAAACCAAAGCGTTTCTTTTCAACGTGGCAACGTTTGACGAAATCTTTGATTCAGACGTGAAAGAATGCAACATCGGAGATCTCGCCAATATCTAAATACCACGTGAATTATACCGCAAAATCAAATTCTTATGAACAATGCCACTTGTTCAGTAGAAATGCATTTGACCCGGACATTTCTGATAACAGGCCAAATTTGTGTTTCATCTCACCAGAAGGTTGCTATTGGTCGCCATAAAAAACAAAGAAAATCAAGGTTGGGGAAATATGTTTAATTTGCATGGTTCTGGGGGTGGGGTCTGTGTTTTTTTCACACACATTTCAGCAGGATTGCATTTGTCATGGCTTCATAGATCATGTAAAAATGAAAGGTAATATATAAGGAAAGGTGTAAGTGTCATTGTGACTCTGCAGTTCAAAGTCATTGCTGTGGTGTCGGTGGAAACTGTGAACAATACTCGTCATATCCGCCTCTGTTCCAGGGATTGGTTTCTGGGAAGGCAGTACTGACAGCATTGTACCGCAAGAGGGCGTTCTTCAGCTTCTCAGAAGATGGGCCAGAAAACTGCACAAATGACACCTGCTCTCCAGAAGGACCTTTCAGATAGGAGTATCGGAGTCCCTGGAGTGCTCCATCGATGAAGGTGACGCTGTAGTCCTCTAAGGGAACCTGCTGACCGAGAGTGTTCACATCAACGGCCCTGTTTCCTTTAACCTGTGGAAATCCACGGGCAGCCGACCTCTGTTCCACATCTCTTAAATAGGAATTCATATCAACTGACTCTGGCAATAGGAAGGTGAGCCGCATGTTGTTGATCAGAGCTGGTGTGCTGAGGTTGAATGTAGGATTAAACTTCGGGTAGCTGTAATTTCTGCCTGTGTCATACTGAAGCATCTCAATCACATAGTTGTCAAAGTAGCTGAATCTCAGAGCGAGGCTCATGTTCCCAGAGAGTGTGATGTTAGGAATGCCCAGACTCTGATAGTCAACGTGCCATTCCTCTGCCTGTAGCATCTCTTTTTGGGCCAACATGTTTTGGACGTCATCACCATTGAAACCAGCGTTTCCATTATCCCCCAGAGATCCTCCTAGTATTTCGGTATAAAAATCAGCCGAACCAAATAGGCTCCTAGTTCTCGTCCCGTGCTGGAAGAGCCCATAGTTTTGTCCAGTAAGCCCAGCTCGTACCTTCCACTTATTGTCAGGATGTGGTTTGTCCAGAAACGCTGTGCTGACGGCCTTCCTCTTGCAATACTCCTTACCAGTATCTAACAACACATCCCCTGCCATCCTGTTTAATTCCAGTTGTTCACCTGACGGGCCTTTAAAGAATGCCCACTGCATTGATTGATCTGAGGCATTTAGGGGCAAGGTGTAGTTTTTGATTGCGACCCGTTCTCTTTCAGCCTCGCTGTGCACTGTGACTGGTCTGTTTGCCCTCACTTGATTGAATTTAAGCTGGCGGGCTCGGGTCTCCAAGGCATGCACGTACATGTTGAGATCAACCGTGGGCTTCACCCAAATATCTATATGCCCATTTGGGACAACGGCAGGACTTGAGCGTCGGTCTCTCACAACAAAATTTTTTTCCGGACGCTCCTTGTCAACAAACTGGACCAGCTGTATGATTCCATTGTCAAAGAAAATGAAGGCCCCGACAACCTGAATTGGGAATAAAATACATATTATCTTGGTGTGCGTGAATTTGGTTTTAAGCCACGTTGAGCAGTATTCAGTTATGACGATTTGTAAGCTTCGCGTAGGAGGAAAACCTGAGAGACCACGGGTATTGTGCTGACAAACCTAAAGACTTATCTTATCAGGGTGATTCTGGGATTCGAACCTGCGATCATTGTTTTTTGGCACCGAAGTCCGTATTGGTACATGTGTGTTTGAAAAATGGGATAAAAGTTAAATTCATCAGTGTAGTGTTTCCTGTATACGGATTGTGTATAAGTAAACATTCATAAAGACGCGCATTTGGGAACGAAGTTGAATGATCTAGTTTACGGTGAAGCGTTTTTGTAACAGACATGTATATTTCTAGAGTGGGGACACGGGTGACTCACTCGTCTTAGACACATACATTCGTTATGCAGAGTTCCACCACTTACCCGTTGTACGGATCTGCATGTATATACTTTCTAATCGTGGGACACTTTTGACTTTCCTCTCACATAAAGCCAGCATGCCATGATACAGCTGAAATACTCTTCAAAGCCCCCTCAAACCCTACTTAGTTTCTCCAGAGAACACGACAAATCCAAATAACGTCAACGTGTGGCTTCTCGATAAACATTGACGTCGGTATTGAAATACATAGCCAAAATCTTGTAAACGATATCATTCCAAAAGAAATGAATCTTCAAAACGAAATGGTATACAAACCAAAAAGTTATTACTGTAATTTACTTAAGACTGATATATTTGAGTACAGGCATTATTCGATGAACATTTTGAAATGACTAGGTAAAGTATGTTAAAGTGATCTATAGTGCTATACAAACTAGTTAAGGATTTTATCGATGCTCATGATTTAATCACTGGACTATCCGGTCTATTAGTTACAGACCGCCGTCATGTAGCTAGAATATTGCTGAATGTGGCGTTAAATAAAGAAATACACACACAAAAAAAAACATCTTCGCGACGAAATTTCAAAAGCGCAAACTGTGAATACTTGGAATGCTGCTCACCTCTAAGGACTTAGGCACATTGGCACTCCGAGCATGTCGGATTCAAGACTTTCCAACTCCACTTTCGTTATATTTATCTGCTGACTTAGAATTATAATGAATATCCAAATAAAGTAAATCATTATCCCATTTACTGGAGAAAATGTCTTATGTTCACACAAGGCACTAGTTATGATGGCTAGGCCTCGATTGGAAATCTAGAAGAGCATACATGCAGTTCTCCTTCAATACTTTATAAATACCGTGATTATATATAGGTGCAATAGGTAGTTTGACCTAATTTGCATTACTCTTGAACGTTGTGAAATGAATTGTTAAATGAAAGATTAACTCGATGTGGTGGTCCTTCTTTCATGTTGACATAAATAAGTGAGTGAGTGTTTGGCGCCGCTTTTAACAGTATTCCAGTCACATCACGGCGTGTCGGCTTAATGTGGGAGGAAAGCCCCAAGTGATGCAGGTTTTAGACGTTTACCACTTCGGTGAAATCCACGAGCACGGGTATGGTGCTGAGAAACCTTGAAACATAATTTTGGCGAACCGGGATTCGAACCCACAATCATAGGTTTTTTGCATGCCCTATGGACGCAACTCTGCACAGCGAATTGCGGCGCCTTAGACGACTGGGCCACCCGTGCCCGCCATGGTCACATGAATGGAACGTGGTAAAATGTTCCACTAAGGTATTCATAGATATACACAATATCTTATTCAAACGTATGAAATCACGTATAAGGATTTTACGCAAGGGATGTAGTTCGGCATGCTTTCATCATTGGCAATGCATTCGAAGTAGTTCGACATCCATATGAACATTATTTATATGATTTTAAGAACGACAGCCAAGGTCGTATTGTGGAAATACCCTCAAAACATTTTTATAACCAAAGCATTATAATTTATCCTCACCAAACAATACAGCCCCCTCTCACACATTTTGAATTATGATACAAATTCTAAATATTATTCTTGTAAAGTATATTTGTTTTATCTTGACTGACAATTTAAGTGAAAATATGTTTGTTCTATTTGCTATTTAGTTGTTTTTTCTGACCTCGTATGTCCCATTATCGCTGATGTCCGGGACCCCGAAGACCGCTGGTGCCACCTTGCTCTGTCGGGCTTTGAGAATCTCCTTCTGGAACATCATGTTGTGATGTTGGTTTCCAGAGTAGCGGAACATGAACTCTGGGGCCAGCATCCCACCCAGAATCTCAGTGTAGAACATAATGGAGTTCGTCAGGTTGTCAGTGGTAACAGAAGTGAAGGCAATACTCAGAGAGACATTACTACCACACGTGGAATAGGCAACCGACAGAAGAATGGAAAGATGTATTAAGCCCTCCATGTTTGTCTGAGGCAAACATGAAATGATCGAACTCATGCCATGTACCACTATCTTGAATTTGGAGAACACATGTCAAGTTTGTAGGTATAATTAGAAACCTGGGGTCAACAAGATAAGGACAATCAATATATTTCTCTGTGAACGATGACTCTTTGGCTTATCTACAACATTGTCCATTTCATGACGGGAATGGCACAAAGAACCATCGCTTATTTGTTATATACGCATCACAAGTATTTGTGTTTTATACTTTTTAAGGACGAATATATATGCAATATGATATCATGTCCTCTTAAAGACG